AGACGTTATAACTTATTTTTATTAATTTACTTTAAGAAATAAAATTACAATAAATTTGTCAAAAGCATCCTTTATTCATGGTCAAAAAATAAATAATAACCAAAACAATCTGTTACATAAATAAATCACAGACAAAACACAAAACATTACATTTTGATCGTATTGTTTAAAACTGATTTAAAAACAATTTAGTTCTATCAACAATTTATACAATCATTCCTTAGTTTGGTGGTATGTAAATGTAAAAAAATAATTTCGTAAACGTAGCAGTTGCAATACTTGCGTGGCAAACAGTATCTAATGCATCACTTCTTGCTTCCTGCCAACTCCCCATTCAAATTGAAATTGAAGAACTAGTCTTAAACTGTCAAACACCAAGCGGTCACCGGTGACCGCGACCTATTGTTCTTTAATTGTGTCTATAAAACCGGTACTCGACGAGTTAAATATCCATTTGTTTACAGTCAAAAGACGAATGAAAGCAGTCCTAGCTTTTTGGACACACAGTGACTCGATTCAACTAAACGTTTGAGTCGTTTTAAACGGATTGACGCTAAAAACAAATATACCTACAAAAAGTATATTAAATTATCCGCTTCATAATATTAATTAATAATATTGCTAAAACAATTTGTACTAGCAAACATACTACATACTTATACCGTAACTTATTAGATACGGGTGTATTTAGCCGTGAAACGACGTGTATGGTCTGCAGTCTTAGCCAAGATGACTGTCTGACATCACTGTAGAGTGTACATACGTTTGTTTAACGTTAACGAGGTCGACACGTTACAGCATTTAGCCTTCTGATTGGTTGTTTAACTTGGAGAAGGCCAATCAGAGTACTGGACGTCATAAATATGTCTATCATGTTAACGTAAAACTAACTAAGGACTTTGAATGCGAAGGGATTTTTATTGCCATCTATTTGTAACGTGATCAAGAATTGAGCCATATTTTGGAACAAATTCTTTTGATGCACATGTAACTTAACGAGCTCTTATGAAGTCAACTTGGCTAAGGGCGATGCAAAGCCATTAATGTCGACATACGGCTCAAATTGACCTACATTTTAAAAATAACGACCTAAATAAATACGTAATTACAACAGTTTTGTACGCGTTGTGGTAGGATTTTATAAAAGCGTCATTTCATTATTTCAAATAGGCAACACTGGACGCTGAACATTTTTTGATGGTGGCAATACAGAGAAATCGGTACCATTCATAAATATTAAAATAAATAATAAAATTAATAAAATATCAACGATTCCATGATAACATTTCAAACCAAAATACATTTTAAGCAGCTCTAAATATTAACATCGATGTATTAAGGTAATTATTACAGTCAGTTTTGTAGCGCGCTTAATGACTAACATTTTTTTTCAAGTAACCGTCGATTATTTTGTACCAAAGCCGCTAAAAACAAGTTATATAGGGCTACACGTCTCCCTTAATACAAGTACTAGTGACATTGTGATGTATGTAAAAAATTGTTTTTACAAAGTTGAGGTTTATATTTTTTGGCATTAGCTTCTCTTAAGCTTATTATATTCGAATGAGTGTCTAAAGAAGCGAATTTCATCAACATCAACATCTAATTTCATTAATATTTCAGTACATTTATTTTATTTGAAGTTCAAATATAATCGACGGTTACATTAATACTTTTTAGTATATTGGTATTATAATAACCACGCGTGTTTTCTAATATAGAACTCTATAAGCAACGTTCGTTTCTAAGTCAACAACAATCTAGAATATTCCATTCCCTATTAGCGGCCTACGTATTCTACGTAACTTTATTTATTTCAACCTATCAGTCATTAAGCTTCACAAAAGTGAGAAAATCCGGAAAATATGTAGCTTCGAAAGCGAAATATTTCGTTAATATTACATTTGTAAACAGACAGTGCTATTAGAATATTTATGATTATAATATTGTATTTTTATAAACCGTAGCGTAAACAATGGTAGAAATAAAACTGTTTAAAAAGATCTATGTAATATTTGAGTACATTTTCAAAAAGTTTCGAAGCCAACGCTGTTTGTTATATTATAATTATTATGTAAAAGCGACGGTCCGCTACGTCGAGTATAAAGCTAATATAAAATCCTACGAGCTACGCTGCTAACACTCGCACAAGTCCACAAATTACTTTAGAACACACGGCTACGCGGCAGATCCATTGTTTACCAAATACGGAGTCTTAATACCACTAAAGCCCGCCAGGAGGCGCCACTGAATTTTAGATCACATAGGTACACCTACCACAGATAACATATTTGAAAGTGTCGATATAAGTTTCGGTAAATAGTGAGGCAAGACGTATAAATTGATGCACGGAATGATTCTTAAATTTACAGTGGCGCCGTCCTAGTATCCGTTTAGCGTTTACCCTATTGCTTAAACACGATCAGAGGCAAAGTATGGCGTCCTAATAATTATTTTGAGTATGTTTATTTTGGTTTAAACGTTAATTAAGCGAGGTTACATACGAAATGGTAATGATGTTGTGGACACATGAACAGATTAGGTACAAATTTTAATGCGTATCTGATGTTATTTGTTCATGTTTCAAAGGAAGCCCAATTTCTTCCATTTTCCAAGCTTTACATCTGAAATACACAATTAAACTAAAAGAAAAACAATAATTGTGACGTACACACTAAAATTAACTACGTGTAAACTTTAAACATTTATTTTTACATACTAAATGGAATTACTAAAATACTAATTCTCACTTTTTTATTTAGTATAACAATTTGAAGTAAGAATATGGAGTGAATTTTCGAAGTAAATATTTTTTAGGAAATATTACTGTTCTGTATCGAATATATAGCTATATGAAGATGAATTTATAAAAGTAGACAAGATATAACATTTTTTGCAATTTTACACTACTCGTTTTCACCATACTTCTATTAAATTTTAATGAAGCCAAGCTAATATAGGTGACACTTAACCACACTTAGATTTTCGTCAACCTTTAAGTAACATCTAAAGGCAAGTGGTAAGTTTAGGTGCTACCTCACTAAGTAACTCTTAGTTAACGAGTTAATTTTAGAGGTGGTTGGTGAAAACGAGCACATTATAATGTACAGAGCGCTTAATACAACTTTTGTTCTACGTTTAAAGTAATCTTAACGAGACCGCGTTCGGCGCTCTGATTTGTTAGTCCGTTGGAGCCGGCCAATCAGAGCGCCGAACGCGGTCTCGTTACGATTAATTTTGAATTGCCGACGTTTGACCACTATCTCGCCTGGTTGTAAGCGATGATGCAGTCTACGATGGAGCACGTCGTCTCTTAAGCAACCTATTCACTCGGGCTTTGATTACACCCAGCTATTAAACGTAAAACAAACGTCGTACTAAGGCCTCTAGGCTAATACTATAATTGAACAATGTATTATCCTCAAAGGTGCTATTGAAAGACAGCTTTAAATTTCAATACAAATATAGATTGGTTAAGTTCGGACATCAATAAGTAGTTATTCAACAATTCCTCGAAATTTCTAAACTAAATACTATGCGATACTTATTTAACATCGTAACAACTAGATGAAATATATTAATAATAACATTTTTCTAATAAATCGGTGCAATAATAAGTTAATGTAACACAATTATTAATAATTATGTATAGTGAATTATTTCATTATGTATAATACAAGCCTTTACTGAAGTTATACTAATTATATGGGCAGTTTATACATGGAGAATTTATTTAAATAATCTAAGCATGTTTTCAGAAGTGCATATTTATGTCTAACTTCTTCTAAGTAATACTTTTAGTATTAAAAAAGTTTACAGTTCGAGATGAGCTAATTTTCTCGTTTATTTTATAATGGTAATGAGTTCTTACCAAGACCATAAGCTTTGGTCGCTCCCTCTAGTCAGCGCAAAAAAACATATTGTAATTAAACTGTCAAACACCAAGCGGTCACCGGTGACCGCGACCTATTGTTCTTTAATTGTGTCTATAAAACCGGTACTCGACGAGTTAAATACATACATAATAGTTTTTAGGAAGAAAATGAAGTATGAAAACATGCTTAGATACATAACTGGATTGGCAATTTACAATAATATCTATTAACTGTTAAATATATTACATAATACTGCAATTTCCTAATAATATTATATTATTTATGAATCGAGTGGTAATTTCTTAGATACGACTACATAAACTATGTTTATACTTTTTGGTACAAATTGTCAATTATATTCGAGGTGTTATCAGTGTATGAGTGAGACAGAAAGGCAACGATCGGATATCCGATATTATAATAATATGGAAGCAAACACGCCGTGCATAGTTTAGTTTTGAATCATTTCAGACGGAAGACATACAGTATATGTCTTCCGTCTAAAGCATGCAGTTGCTTTATTCTCTCAGTAAGAAAATAGAATTCAGCCTACCAATCATGTTATTACTGAGATATTTTCTCTGAACTGATCCACTTATACACTGTTAACGATACAAGTAATAAATAATAACAATACTATAAGTTAACATGTACTATAGTGCCACTTAAAACACTTGTAGAAATAAGTAAAGGTACATATGTCACTTGATAGGGGCTACCATTTGCCCACCAGATGGCGCTAGTGTCTTTACGTCCCATAGAGAATTGGGTACTTTCCTTAATCAAAAATAAATATTTTGACTGTTCAATATGATAAAATATTAAAAAATCACACATTCATTAATTGATTTTATGAGCAACATAATTTTAGTATTTTTCAAACAAATAAAAAAAATAGGTATGCTATTTGATGCTAAAAAAACGTGACGTCACAATACACAATGTCGTACAAAATTCATAGAAAACTGTTGTTTGACAGTTCGAAAAAAGTATTGAATTTGACTATTGGCAAGTACCCAATTAGCTAGATCATTGTAATCGCCATTGGACATTCAAATTTTGACAGGTATAGTGATTGGACAAACTAATTTCTTTTTAGATCAGCGCCATCTAGTGAGTAAAACACGGTAGCCCCGATTCGCCAGTTATGTTACAGGGCGAGTCTATGTTTTATACATATTTACGCTACTAATAAACTAAATGAGGCCTTATTTTAATACTATTTGTTATTATATTTAAAAGGAATGTCAATTGTTATAAAAGTAGAAGATTGTAGTAATATTTTATTAGCATTTCATACTTTTTGAGTTATTATTATTATTTTTTTGCAAGTTAAAGAGCTATTTCAGGAACTATCAAAGACGCGTGAAACATTTGATTCTAGTTAATAGAATATTTAGGAGTTCATTTAGAGTTGAAAATGTAAAGATTTTCTAACGCCATAATTTGAAGTTATGGGTATGATCAGACAATAGCTAGATTAGCTTGAAGATTTTCTAGGAAGGTTTTCTGGCAATTATTTAAGGTAGAGAACATCCAAACTTGTATAATTTACTAGAAATACACAATTTTAACGGTAGCCTTTAGAATAGCTAGATATAAGCCGTTTAATCCAAGTAATTAAAAAACATCATCTTCAAACCAAACATTATGGCCGAGAAGAGTATTTCGATATCAACACAGAATAAGCTGTTTTTTTTATTTTCACCAGATGTCGCCACTGGAGTATAAGTTGTTTTAAAAGTTTGGCTGCTCTCAATACATTGTAGAATTTCAATATATTATTATTAGATCTTAAAATTCACTTCCTAACTCCTAAAGGACATTACGTTTCAACCCTGCAAACTATTCGTATCGTTAATTCGTAAACTACGTTCATTTAGTTGACTAAATACTGTATGGTGTAAATACAAATGAAACTAAATCACGCAGACTAAGTCTACATTATTAAAATTATTACATTGTGCATGAAATAAATTATAATAAATAAATTATTGTGTATCTGTATACTGTTTAGATTTTTCACCTGGCAATACTGTGTTTGTAGTTGGCAACACTAGCATTAGAGTGCGACCAGCCTAGTGTTGCAGTCGCGCCATTTCTCCTGTAGTTTCCTGTGTTCTTCGTATTGTTGCTCTGTTACTTGTTTTACCGCTGGAGCGGCCTGGGTGGACAAAAAAAAGATTTTTTAGAATATCATTATGATATAGTACAGACAGAATTCGCCGCAAGTATTCATTAAGGGTAAATTTTTCAACCATACGTTATTTCTTAACTGTAGAATAAAATGGACAGTTTATAGTATGGAAGAATTGTCAAATATTCAAAGTTGCTTCAGTTAAAATTTATCTGGCGTTAGAATAATCGGCCCATTGTCAACCTGTTGTAAAGATAGTATATCTAGAGAAAAAAACATGTTTCTGTACTAATCTAGAATTTTGATTACTTTTTTAACCATCGTTTCCGCGATGGAAACATCATGAAATGAATAATCTGGGACATTTTTAGTTTTAATTAATAAAACACGTACCTTAATCTTCCTCGGATCCAAATTAGCCCCCAGATTCTGGACGCCCTTAGCCAACTTCGTCAAGGGCGAGAGTACCATGTCCTTAGTGCTGCTACCGACAGGACTGGCGATGTTCTTGAACTGTTTGATGGCGGACTCACTGTGCGACTGCGCAATATTCAACGTGATCTCATGCTGAGAGTTTGAACGAACATGGAAGTTCACCCCCTCCGACTGACTATCATCGAAATTCAACTCATTGGAACTGTGAGACAGTTTCTGTGCCAACATCAGGGAACTCGGAGGAGCAGGCTTCGCAAAAGCCCCGTCCACCTGAATCTCCGGAGTCTTCGACGCCTCTATGTTAAACGGATTGATTTTGTTGACATTACTTGGCGTTTTACTCGCTTGTTTTTCAACATTAGTCACTATTTCTGAAGGAATAAAGTCTTGTGTATCATGCGGTTCGATTTTTGAAGAGTACAGGGGATTTTGTATGAGTTCACAGTCGTTTTCTGCTTCGGTCTTCTGTGCTGGTTTGCCAATGTAATGTTGGGTATTTTCGAAGTTGTCGAGAGTTGGTTCGAAGATATTTGTTCTGTTTTCGTCGTCAGAGGAGTAATCAGAGCTCATGCCGTCAGAGAGGCTGCCTTTTTTCTTATTGTCCTTGTTCTGTCCCAGGGTGAATATCTTCTTAGTGCGAGAGGCGCTCTGGTCGAATTTTAACTGTAAACTAGGTCGTGCGCGCGCGTTCAACGAGTGACTCAGTTTGTTCAGCTTACTAAATTGTTCCGTCATATTGGTCAGGGCTTTTGATCCTGGAATTGTTAAAAAAAAATGTTAGAAAGTATATTGTATTTTCTGCAGAAGAAGAACCAACTAGAATCTCCTATCTTGTGGTTAGTTTTGGCAAATAAGGAATTAAGTACAAATCGAAAAATCAATCATAAGATTTTTACTCATAAGTCAAAGTTCTATTCTTAAAAATACGGACTCGAACTATATATTTCGAAGCAACAGTACGTTCAAACAACTCTATGTAAAACTAATTTAATGAACATCAAAACCTACTCAAAATATCTCTCATGTCTAATCTCAAAATACACGAATAAATGAGTAGTGTCAACGAACAGTGTGTGCGTCAGCGTGCGAGCGGTCGCTGGCGGTAGCCACCACGTTGCGGTGCATGTGCAGCGGCACCACGCGCGCCCGCCCGCCCTCGGCTGCCCGCCGGGACACCAATACCAATTAAATTAAAGTCCTAGTAACCCTATCATTGCCTAAAAGGCCGATGCTAGCCTATGATGTCCTAGTAATTTCGTTGTTGCCAAAGGGAGAGTTGGCAGCCGTCTGCATGTACCATGACGTCAAAAACGGATGTTTAAAATTTTTGATGTCTTAGGATTGTGCCTGTAACCGATTAACGGCTGCCGACCGTCTGACAAATTCAGGAAAATAATTGTTTTTTTAATCTGATATCTTAGTAATAGGGCTCCTTTGCCAAAAGTTGGGTCATAGTCGTCTGCATGTACCACAGATTATAAAGAAATTAAGTTTAGATTTTAGAAAACTATGATGCCCTAGTGCTCTTGTCGTTGCTGAAGTTGGGGTTGGCGGCCGTCTGCCACGTACCAGGTAGTCAGGGAATGAGTTTTGAAATCTCTGATGTGATAGTACACCGGGCAATCGGAGTCCAAAGATTTGTCAAATCTATACAATTGGCAAACTGGTTGGAGATTACAGTTAAGAGAATTAAGTTAATCACAGAACGCAGTGTTTGATCTCTGTTATATCTCCTACCAACACCACACATCCAAACAAAGCTAGAATTCACGGACAAATAAGGTTTTGTTACTTACCAACACTTCGGATGTCGGCGACGAGTTGCGTTTCGCTTACATTTCTCGTGAGAGTGGGTAGACGGGATAGGTCCAAGTATATCGAGGACCGAGCGTTGCCTGACTGGCCTGGGTGGACCTGGGTGAGAGATTTTTTTATTTAAACTGTCAAACACCAAGCGGTCACCGGTGACCGCGACCTATTGTTCTTTAATTGTGTCTATAAAACCGGTACTTGACGAGTTAAAGAACCTTTACCATAGGCACAGATAATTAAGGTACGGTAGGGTAATAATACGAATACTTTATTCTTATAGGGTCGAAAATGTATTGAACAAATTATTTGACAGTTTTGGATAGTTTGATGAACAGCCGTCAGTTAAGACATACACATGCAACAATAATAAGTAAACCTATTGCCTATTAAAACTCAAATAGGTCTCAAACTAAAACTTAAAAATAATTCTAGATTTCACGCTAAAAATAATAGGCCTAAATCCACAATCGTTGATTGAATGATGTACTCCGAAAATAAGGTTGTAAATAACTTACTTTAGATTTCTTCTTTTCCAGCTTGACTCCGTCGTGGAAAGGGATGGGAGGGAGCTTGGCAACGTCCCGCGCCACCATCAACGACTCGCAGATTGAGTGCAGAGATTCTATAAATAGAAATACCGTTTTCGTACCCAAAATAGTGTCTTACGTATTTGAATATCATCATTCACAGCAATATTATTCAAACTTCTCATTACACAAAGAAATCTAATCTGAATTGATTCATTTATTAAGCATAAAATCGTTAATGTGAAAGTTATAGGATTTGTCGAAAAAACATTATTATTGTTTATAGGATAGGATCCAAATGTCATTATTAGTATTATTACATACAAATATATAAAAAACATATTTAGGTATTTAGCACATTAGCTATTTTTATCGATGAATAATTATCTTATAAAGTACGTTTAAAAAACCGACTTCAATTCATTCTTTAAATAATCGTTTGGAAGCGAATTTCCAGATTTTCAACCGTATCAAAAAACAATAAGGTTGAAAATCAATAAAAGTCAGTTAAAAAACTATCTTGCATACGTACCAATCATCTCGTCCCTGGTATTGATGACGACGGCCATGTTGTTGAAGAACCGCAGCGTAGTGGAGCGGAACATGTGGAAGTAGCCCGCCTCCCCGCTACACGAGTAGTGGATGCGGACGCAGTACACTGGCTCCGGGGTGTTCTTGCGACCCACGCTGAACAACTGAGGGGACATGTTTGATTGGTATTTAATGTTTTAAGTGGAAAAGCTATCAAGTAATAGTTTTGGTATCTAGGAGAAAGAAAGTAGAGTGTGCGGGGGTATTGCACAACTTGATTCCCCCTAGTCTATTCCATCACCGTACCACAAGACAATCGGCGAAGCGTCACCGATTCATGGTAGATGTCCCACCCATACGCACGAAACGCTTCGCATCAAGCTTTCTTGTGCGTACTGCTAAGGAGTGGAATTCTTTGCCTGAGTCTGTATTTCCAGTCTATATAATCTGGGTGTCTTCAAGGCCCGAGTGAATAGGTTGCTTATGGGACGACGTGCTTCATCGCAGACCGCATCATCGCTTACAGGCGAGATAGTGGTCAAACGTCGGCTTATCAAATATATATAAAAAGGAGATGGGCTACTGCTCACCAGATAGCGCAAACGCAGAAAGAGGTTTTTTTATCTAACCCACAGCAGTTGTAAAATATTGAACGTCCAATTGGGTACTTGCCAACTATGTAGTTACAGTCAATACTTTTTTCGAACTGTCAACAACGACAGTTTTCTATGTATTTTTATTTTGTACGTGATTGTGTATTGTGACGTCAAGTTTTTATAGCGTCGAACACGACGATAGCCCACCAGAATAGTATTTTTGACAAATGTCAATTGAAGGAAAAAAAGAAACATGACATGGTCGTTCTCTTATCATCATCTTCACGCATTCAAATTCAGTACTCATTTTCATTATAACGAGCGGAATCAGATTTAACTCACTAGATGGCGCTAATTTAAAAAACATTATGTATCTGCAGCAGTCAAAAATCGAATTTCCAATAGTGATTGTCTAGTTGATTCTCTATTGGACGAATAGAGTTGCAACTTTGCCACAATGGCTCACAAATGCCCCTCAAAGAGCCATCAGACCACCACGGATGGGGCCCAATAGGGCTGATGCCGATACGGAGTCGCGGAGGACATAACCGGTTACTGGGACTCCGGCTCGAAGTGTAGGAGTAGGAACGGGGTGGTTTTTAGTGACTAAGAGTCTGACACTTTGTCCCACTATAATGTACCAATTCACTACGTTTTTATGACGGGGGGAAACCTTCAAAAGGCGCCTAGGTTTATTGGGAGAAAGATTAGGGAGTGTAGTATTTTTACCTCACTAAAACCACTTCGGTGGCCACCCTCAACACCTGTAAGGGGCACCGGGTCCTCTAATAGTGTTGCTCCACTACCAACTTACCGTGGTACAGTTAGCATCGAAGGGTCCGAGTTCAATGAGCGTGACGTCAGCGAGCGCGACCCGTTGCACGCCGAGCAACCTGTCGGACGTCTCGTCGTAGTCCGCCACGTAGTACGCAGAGCTCGTCAGTACTAGCACGCTGTCCATCTCCGTCTCTTGAGGGTCGCCCGTACTGAGGAATAAAGAAAAAGAATTAATCAGTTCATCATCATCATATCAGCTATAAGACGTCTACTACTGAATATAGACCTCTTTCAACAAGGTCCAAGGTTACTCGACTAATTTCAAGTTAACATTGGGGCCCATAATTATGAACTGCATATGTAACAATACGCGACTATTTAAGTCATATGACAAGTTACCTTAATAAAGAGAGTGTATTTGTAGACTCATGTTAAAACTTCCGAGACTAATATATCTCATATTTCAAGTTATGTGTAATTGTGTATTTTCTTACTTAGGATCAGCATCTATAAGTCCCCAGGACCCGAGTACCGGTTCCGTATCAACCAGCAACTTCTTGCAATCGTCTATTAGGGATTTCACATGTTGCGCCATCGCTGCCGTATCTGGCTCCGTATGATCCTATAAACAATACATTTTCAACTTTATAGTTTTTAAATAAGGTCGAAAATTTAATAAGCAAGTCATAAGCTTGACATGCTGAAATGTGACAGTACTAATCATGCAAACTTTATAAAGTTTTTTGATGTTTATTAATATGATTGCGGTAAGCTAATATAATGGTTAAGTAAATGATAGGTAAGTGTGTTAATTAATAGATAATAATATACAATCAGTAGCACTAAGATAATGCTCTATCGCTAAAACATATAGTACATATAGTAATATATGGCAGCAGAATACATCAATATCATGGATATACAATCTAAAATAGGACATGCTTCGACATGAATGGGCCGGCTCGACCGGAGTGATACCACGACCTCACAGAAGACCGACGTGAAACAACGTTGTGTTGTGTTTTGTCGTGTGAGTGAGGTTACCGGAGGCCCAATTACCCCCCCCCCCATTTACTTAATCCCTGAATCCCCAACAATCCTCAAATTCCTAATCTAGAAGGCTGGTAACGCACTTGTAACGCCTCTGGTGTTCCAGGTGTCCATTGGCGACGCCAATTGCTTACCATCAGGTGCTCGTTTACCGGCTTATCCAATAAAAAAATACAACTACAGATCGTAAGAAGCAGGCAAATAGTATCAAGGTTACTTAAGCTCGAATACTGAAACGCTACTCACTCTGATCCGCACAATTACAGATCGTAAGAAGCTGGCATCTAGGTTACTTACAGCTGAATACTGAAAGGCTTCTCAATTTAAAGTTGCACTTAAATATAGTGCTGTCTCTGTCGTTTTACAAAGAAATTGTCGTGACAGAAATATAGGTACTCACGCGTGATGTAAAATTGAGTGGCCTCGGTATTTGGAAATTAGGTTCAAAAGCAAAAAAAACCGCTGAATTGAAAAGTTGCGAGCAAAAGCCTCTACTAAATTAAAAATAAAGAAAACTGACTCAAGCCGGGCATGCACGCACATTGAACATTAGAACCTTAACAGAAGTGCATTTTCCACACTCGGGAACAATCAGCTGATCCGGTATACTGCGGGACTCGCCCGTCATCACATCTATAGCCACCTGGCGAAGCGCGTCTTTGAACGTTGAGAGGTAGTATCTGAAACAATATTATAGTTTGCTAGTATAATTTCATTAATGGGACAAGCCGGTCACAACCTCCCAAAACCGCTGCAACTCCTGTTAGCCAGGATCTAAGTACATATACCCATGAAAACATCGGAACACTGAAGTCCGACGCATCCCAGGGACATGAGTAACTGTTTTGGAACCCGCAATAAAATAAATCAGAAGATATTATTAGAGAAGAAAAAATATTGTAAATATTTATTGACAAGAGTGTTGACTTATCTAAAACAAGATTACAGATAGATTCAGTAAATACTAGCCAGCGGTTTCATCCGCGTTCCGGCGGGATAAAAGTAACCTAGTATGTGTAATTCTAGACCATAATCTTCCCTTGTTCCAAATTTCATCTCGGTCTCTTCAGCCGTTAATGACGTGAAGGAGTAACAAACAAACAAACATACAAACATTCGCATTTATAATATTAGTAGGATTTATTGATGGTTGCTAAGTGCCAATTTGATACTGGTTGTACAATTATTTGAATGTAATGAAAGCTTTCTGAAGCAATGATGAATTGTCAACAAATCTGTTTGTTAGTGGAGTAATATGTCGTAATCAGGGAAGTGGATGACCAGTATATGATACAAGTTACAATGTATTTTTTTTTAATTAAATAATATAAACGGTGTCGCTTATAAATGTAAATCAACATAAAATATTACGTCTATCGTAATCAAGGAAACTGAATCAGGGAACTGAAATCACAATTGAAAGAAAATTTTTCACATCTAAAAATGGTGCTATCACACAAGTAACCATGATAGGAAAATTGATGCGTGACTATTGAAAGCATACAAAGATTTTTTTATTTTTTTTTAAAACAAAACGTTGCCCCACACTAGGATTTACTCCTGTGTCGTGGGTGCGTTTACAAACATACAAGTTCACATACACATGATACCCACCCCACACAAGTAACCATGATAGGAAAATTGATGCGTGACAATTGAAAGCCTACAAAGATGGCCACAAATTAAGCTTGAATAGAGTTATAGATCACTTTTATCTCTGTCTTATACTTACGTACGACAGCTGTGCGATAGAGAAAAGAATATTGCTAAGCCAAACTCGACCTTAACATAAGCGCGATTAAGTAATAATTCACGCAAACATTAAAATTCAATTATTGTTAGGTGTATGCTTTTAGAAAGAAATTAAATGGCGGACAGTTGTAGGTAAGCGTCTACAGCTTTTTGTAGCTTAATAGGAGAGGAGGTCAAAAAGCGAAACTAAATTTTGTTAGTTTTAAAACAGGGAATATACTGACAAAACAAATCCGATTAAACACAATTCAACATTTAAAGTAACCTTATAATACTTTCACAAATCTTATCAAGGCAAATCATCCTTTAAAGTAATGTTCATAGAAAGTTTATCAATGAAGATTGTTGCTTATTTATCACTAAGGAGTTCAATCAAAACTAATGTCTATTGATCTATAGACAATTCCAATATAAACTAACTTTTTATAATAACCATCGGTCCCCGTTTATAAGAACCCCTCTGTTATTCGAAACTAGTAGAGCTTCTCTCAGTATATTCACGTGAGTAACTCGCGATTTTTAGGTTATAAACTAACTTTTGACAAGTACAAAGATTAGTAGAACTCTTATGTTGCAATACTCAAACGCTACTCAGTTTTAGTTAGTCACTAAGTATAGTTCTGTCACTACAAATACTTTGTAAAATGACAGAGACGGCACGATATTTAGGTACAGTTAAAAATTGAGTAGTCTTTCAGTATTCGGGCGTAAACATCTCAACTGTCATCTACTAAGTGATAATTATCATCTTAATTTTTTTTAAACTGTCAAACACCACGAGGACACCGGTGACCGCAACCTATTGTTCTTTAATTGTGTCTATAATGACGTACTCAAATTAATAATTCGTAGAGTTTTTACTAACGTTTTGTAAGTACATTCCCGACTCAACACTCAAATAGACTGACCTCCCCATCCCGTACGCGATTTCCGCCCCCAAAAGCTCACTAGTCAACGCATGTCCGAAGTAAGACGGCATCATTTCTAACTTTGGCCTCTCACTGTCCAAATTTTCGACCAACATCAACGAAGCAGTTTTGACATCCCGCCAAAAACTGTCAAAGTTGACAACCGTCGCCATATTGACTTCCTGTCCGAGCAGAATGTCTATGGCGCATTGCGTTATGGCGTCGTTAAAATGGCGGATGATGAATCTAGAAAATTTTAAAATATTGTTTGTGGTTTTGTACCAAATAAGATGGATAAGACGTTTTGTTTATTTGATCTTACCTGTTAGCTGATGCGACACCGTCCTTCATTAGTCCTGTGAATTTTCTTTCGCCTGTTCTTGTGTAATCACCCTGTGGAGAAACAACTGGTTAGAATATGTCCTTTGAATGTGAAGTTATTTAAATAATGGGGAACGCCTCTACTAGTACTTGTGGAAATCTATAAAATGTCGGAAGCCTATAAAATGAAAGTATTTTTTTTTTCTATTATAAAAATACAGTCATTTGGCTTAGCAGTTGCCGATTTTTTTTTAAACGTTGCCCGTCATTAGGATTTCCTTCTGTGTCGTGAGGGCGTTTACAAACATACAAGTTCACGTACACATCACACCCAGACCTGAAACAACAATTTGTGGATCACACAAAGTGTTGCTCCGTGCGGGAATCGAACCCACTACACGTTGGGCGGCATCCGGTTGCTATAAATACATTACATTAACGAGGTAGACTATAAATTAATTACTAGAACAATGTCTAGTACCTCGGATCGGTCCTTCATGACTAAAAATTAAGATCATAGTGGGTTGCAATTGCAAGTCTATCGACCTTAGACGAAGCCTCCATAGGCTTCTTAAATATGTAACCCTTAAAAATAAATATCCACATTATTACAGTCTAGTTACCTTCAGCGCTTTAGTCCCAGCATACTGCCTAGAGATAACGTCTCCGTTATCGGCCCACATAGTGAGGAACGCCTGTCGCAGTGAGGGAGGGAGTCCACAGCCCGGGGTGCCCAGTCCGAGCCGACATAGTTGCAGCTCTAGGACGTATTTTGCTATTGCTGTCTGTTAAGAGCGAAGGTTTAATCTTATACTATAATAGTTAATAGCTGAACAGTTTGTTTGTTTAAACGCACTTAGGAATTACTGCTCTAACTTAATTAAATATTTTTGTGTTGAATAGCCCATTTATAGAGGAAAGCTATAGGTTATAAAACAACACGCTACGATCAGTAGTTGCCAAGCAGAACGGGTGAAACAGCGCGAAAAGTAGCTAGTGTACAATAGAGAAAGTTATAGATATTTCATTTCATTGTTTGAATATTTGTAAGTGATGATTTTGTTCTCGAATACATAATAGGTAAGGGTGGTGTACGAACAAGCTCAATGTCAATTAATTGTGAACTCTATGACGAATAATTGTGAATCTCTACAGATTATGGTTTTATGCAGCTGACCCAAAGAAGCCGATTTTGTAATATAAATTTGCATTAAAGTTTTGTTTAAAAAATAACGCGTACGACAATGAATGTTTCTGCGTGCGTGCGTACGTACGTAGTGCGTGCACGTGTATTTTTGTGTGTCGTGCGTAGTGTGATAATATCTCCTTTTAATTGAACTAACCCACATACCTGTACAACATTAGTCCTATCGAGGCAGTCAATGCAGTTGACCCTGAACACTCCGTTCTGCGTACAGATGAGGCCGCGGTCGTCGCGCCAACAGAATCGCATCTCCCCGATGACGTCGGCCAACGCGTTGATTAGGATACTCACGTTTTCATAGTGCATGCCGCGGCTGGAATTATTATAAAGAAGATTTTTATGGAGATTCAACTATAAGACGTAGGTAATAATGTTCAGATTTTCAATGTTCTGAGATTAAAATTTTAATCTCAGTTGGATACTTGGACTTATGTAAACGATAGGTATTTTTAACATTTGATATTTAGTTTATTTTTCTGGGAATAAGGTTTTCTTTCTTTCATTTAGTGTTTCATTCTGGTGACACGATACATATCGAATACATGCGAATAACTACCTTACACTCTTCACAATAAAGTTCAAATCCACTTACCAATACTCGTGGAAGTCAAAAGTGGCATAGATGACGTCAGGACTATTGTACCGAAGTACATGGTTGCCGTACGCCTCCCATATAATGCGCTCCCTGCCCTGTTGTTCCACTAGATTCACTATACATACATTTTTGTACGTTGTCAGTTCTTCTGCAAAATGCTTCTTGAAGGCGGCGTGGGATTCGTCTTCAGCTGAAAATATAAATAACGAAATTATAGGGGTAGCTGTGTATGGACTGAATACAAGTCACTTTCTACCTGCCTGGGGGAGGCCTATGTTTAGAAATAGACGTCTTGTGGCTGATAATATAAAGAGAGAAAGTTATTTTTTTTTTCAAGTTTTAATGTGGCAGAGACATGCTTCGACACAAATGGGCCGGCTCGACCGGCGTGATACCACGGCATCACAGAAAACCGACGTGAAACGACCTACGTATTGTGTTTCGTCGTGTAAGTGAGGTTACCAGAGGCCCAATTACTCCCCTCCTCAATCTCCCCAATCCCCGAATTCCCAATGATCCTCAAATCCTAAGCTCCAAAAGGCCGGTAACTTGTAACGCCTCTGGTGTTTCAAGTGTCCATGAGCGACACCGATTGCTTATCATCAGATGATCCGTCTGCTAGTTCACCGACTTATCCCATCAAAAAAAAGATTTCAAAATCAATTAGTGAGCTACTGGAAAAATTTTAGCATACCAGATGGTAGAATGTACCAGGAACAATAAATCTTTTTAGGACCTTATATTATGTACCTACATTCAATGCAAATAAATTATTCTTTTTTCTTTTCTACTGAGCTTGTAATAGTGGAAATCTTACTTCGATCGAGACGAGGCGGAGGTCTGAACTTGTATTCCGGTTGGCTCCAAAATATTGGCACAGAACCACGAACCTGTAAAAACACAGTTTAATATTGTAGTAGATTGTTATATTCGCCTCTTCGTTAGTCGAGTAGTCACGAGTGTAACTATGGCTTTGATTCCCGGTTCCGGTAAAGTGTTATGGAAGTATTTATTGAAAATTCCTCAATAATAACGCGAAGTTTGCAAATATTTAATTCTTATTGAGTCTTCAGCATAACTGGGGAAAAGAAGGCTTTCTACCTCTTCTAAGAAGATTTTTTTTTAATAAAAATAAATTTTATTTCTCCACGGACTTGTGTCCGTGCCTTTGTCATATTACAGTTACATTGTTTTCCTAATAGTTATAAAGATCTTACATGCTACGCTAACCACTAATCACCAACTTCTTTGAAGATTGAAAAGTTAGGGTTAATGTTTACTACGTGATTACAAACCAAACTCATCCAACATCACAATATCACAGCATAGACCACAGTTACAAAATGCGAAAATAAAAACAAAACGTACAACCAGCCAGTGACCACAGACCCAGCAGAGCGTAAACTTTGTAAGTAACGGTATAAAACGAGGTTAAGTATAATAGTCGGTTATACTAAAGTAATTCTTGCATTACAAATTACTACATGATAATTACAAGTGTAAAATGTAATTACGCAATCAGTTTTAGTAATTAATTAGTGAAACAATTATAAATGTAGGTATCATAGTCTTATGGAGGTTGTATTACCACAGTGAAAATAGTGTTAGATTAGATTAAACCTTATTAGGTTAACCATACGGTTGATTTCAGATTATATAGAGAATTCCTATGCCATCTCCCGATTGGCACACCCAAATACACGTCATTTATAAGTGATTTTTGCCGATATCTTGCACTATTACTGTCTTGAAGATAGCAGTAGCCAACATTTTTGATAAAAAATGTGCGAGATGTAGTAACTGATTTATATGATGTGGAAGGCTATCCATTGTTGTAGGAGATGTTCAGGCTGATGTTTTAGAAAAAACGATGCTGCCTGTACTAGATGCAATATCGCTTATTCTTGAATCGAATTCCGATCGACCGACATACATATTTTGTACTCTTACTGATATTGAATTTATGAATTAACTAAATGGTATTGACTGCCTCTTTGGCCGAGTGGTCGTACCTAAGTGCGACTGCCGGGCAAGGGGTCTCTGGTTCGATTCCCGGGTCGGGCAAAGTATTACTGTGTTTTTAAATATTCTCAGTAGTAGCACGGAGTCTGGAATTGTGCCCGGTATAAATGGCAATAGGCTCACCCCCTATTACATGGGACTCATAACATAAATAGTGAAAAGTGGGTGTTACATTGTACAGTTGTATAATGTGCACCTCTGCCTACCCTTTCGGGGATAAAAGGCGTTATGTTATGTTATGTAAATGGTATTGAATTTGACTTTATATTTCGTATTCTGAACGCTATTTAAACAGTTAGGATTAGGGTTGTATAGTGTTAACATTGGATAATTATTGAGATTTTATTGGATTGAAATAGAATTGACATTGAGATTAGTTTTAAGAGTTAGCACCCTGGTCACATCTTTAGGACATATGTATGTAGGTCCTATAGAACGAGTTTACCTGAACGAATGATGCCCTGTGTATGCTGTCTGAGCATATGATTGAGACGATCTGTTCAGTCTCCACGTAGTTTGCCACCTTACCGCCCGGTTCTATACCTCGACGGTTGTACCTGGAAAAATAAGGGAATACAATCCAGTTATGTTTTGATTTATAGAAGCTGAAAGGGATTTATCAAACATGTGAAGCACAAGAATAGTTTGGAACTATTATTGTGCTTGATAGTCGCATTTTGAGACAACTTATGCTAGTTTGTCTAAAATATTAGTTTGAATAAAAAAATACTATTTGGTATCTCAAAGCCAAGGATAACCATAATAGACAAGTTTATAAAATAACAATTGTAACATGATACCATGACACTCAGGAAAAGTCGGATAAAACATCTCTTTTCGAATAATATTTTCCTCGTGGTTGACCCAATTCAGCTATCTAGGTAGGTACATACATACATAATTATGAATGAATAAATATATAATTAGGCATATAAGTGTTTTAGATCACAACACGATTACCAGTAGGGTAAATTCACCTCTTTGCGTCCATGTTACGGACGCGAACAGACAAACTTTAGTAAGAGTGGACGCGAACAGGCGAAGTTACCTTAATTTCCTGATAATGTCAATCAAACGTCAAGCCCATTATGGGAAGTGATAGTGATGTCAGGTGGATGAGATCCATTACATACTATCACACTATCGAGAGCTTGCGCTGTTTACTTTGCATCATCATATTTTATTCTGATAAGTTATACGGATATGTAATGATTCATTGGGCGGTGAATCAAGGATTTATCATAATAGTATTATTTTACTCTTTGGCGTAAATTGGGTTGGTCACTTTTTTCGTGAATATGTCTAACTATAGAAAATCTTTTAGACTACACATTCATATAGAAGTGATAGGTGAAAAGTTTAACGAGAATTATATTAGAACAGGATGGAAATTCGCTCAGTTTTTAAGTTTATCTCTATCATATAAAACAAAAAACAAATGCAACGTTCAGTATGAATGTGTACTTTAAAATATAATAATCCATACTTAGAGATTATAACTTTTTTCAATCTTTACATCTTTATGGCTTTACCTTCCACTACATTCATACATCTAATCATAGAACCACATCGATTAAGATTTTCTGATTCACTTACCGTGTTCCAGCCTGGTACCTCGACCGCCGTGAAATGAGGCCCAGCGTGAAGGTTTCATCACAAGTATTGGCGTTAGACAAAGACTCTGTGTTCAAAGGGTTTATATCTGCTGGCTCTACCGCTATCTGGGACAGGTGGACGTAGCCTTGGATGATTGGGAGAATCCATTGGTCGCAATCTGGACTCTGTTGGGCGAGATTACGGTGTTACCTAGTTGTTTAAAAATGGCTGAGCATTGATGGAACACAGTGAGACAATTGATGATTTAAGTCAGTCTAGGATGTTTGACATTTTGTCAATAAAACTAACTGTTGTTACTCTTATGACACGGTAATAAAAAAGGTCTTAAAATCTGCCAGTTTAACATTGAGAATGGAACTTAATGACAAGGTTAAAAAGGTCTAAAACCTCTAAATAACTACTAGTTTCCAACTCACCCCAAGAGCAATGATATCCTTCATCATATGTTTGTTCCAGAAGAATCTATCATCGACATGTTTCCACCACTTCGTGATGTCCACAACAGGTTTGCCAGTACCAGCTTCGGATTCCAGGATCTTCTCAATCTCATACTGTCTTTGGAGACTGTTCGTCAAGTCCAGGGTTCGAGAGTAGTAGAAACTCTCCGAGTCGTCGAATATCTTGAGCAGTTCATCAGTCAGACGTTTCTCGAAGCGCTCCGCTAGCTTCGGGTCTCGTTGCTTCTTTACTGATTGTTTTACCTATGTCAAAAATGTTTGTGTTAGTTTTAAAACATTATATGGAGATATATTTTAGTAATTTACTAATTCTACAGCGTGTAATTGTTACATAAGGTAACTCGACTGGTTTCGAGCTATACCAGGGGCCACAATCGTGAGCATTACGTTGAAACTAGTTAAGCTACCATGTCGAACACTTTTTAAGGATAACTTACAGTTTTCTAGTCAAACAAAAGAACTAAGTAAACTATCAGGCTACTCCTGTTTTAAACAGGAAGTAAATAATGGATAAGATAAAAATAACTAAGGGTCTATCAGTGGGCTTACGTTACGTTTGCTTGCGTTTAAAGTAAACGAAAGGAATACGGTTTCGGCGCTGTGATTGGTTCGTTTATTGGGAGCTGACCAATCAGAGCGCCGATGCGTAAAACAAACTCGTAGTAAGCCTTCTGATGAAATACTCTGGGTAGTTGCTACCCAAAAATATTTATAATTAGTAATGTACTTGGTTTCAACATGACTTAACTATCTAGATATGTCTTATACTCTAAGAAATACGGTCGGATTTCGTCTGCAACAATGACGAGAGACGAGAACTACATAGAATTACGAACTAATTGACAACAGTTACTTCAAAGAAAATATGTGTACCCTTTTATTAGATCCGTACGTTTTGTGCGTTTCTTTAACACCACAGCAGCTTGGACCTGGACCGGGCTAACATAAATCAACTTTAAATTGGTTTATAAAAGTTGATATAATAACTATATGGCTTATAGATGCTCGCAGTGTCTAAATAACAAAATCTTAAGTAACTTTTTTTTGGGTTGCCCCGCCTTGGTGAGGCGGGAGGGAGTGTCACACTCTTACTGACTGAAAACCACCCCGTTCCTACTCTTGCACATCGGAGCCCCGGGAACCCGTTAAGTCCTCCGCGGCTCAATCTGCTGAGTAACTAGCGACTTGTGCGTTTATTAGTGTTTCTTTAAAGACTATATTATGCATGTAACTGACATAATATGTAGTTATAAATCATTGTATCAATTAAAAAACCGTATTACAATCCGTTGCATAATTTTCAAGATCTAAGCATACTACATAGGGAGGGATAGACAAACAAAAACTATTTTGTTCGATGCTATGTGCTACTATACTATTCTTGCGTAGTCTGTATTTTCCAAAAGGCTCGTTAGAAGCGTTTGCAAGTACCTACGCTCTTTTAGCTTTATTTAGCCAAAGATCGATATACAATGTTTAAACAAACAATAAGAGTACCAGTAGGTACTTCTCATAAATCACTCAAATTCAGCCGCGTGTGACAACATGACTTACGTTTCTTAAGAAATATGTATTAATAATTACTTCCACGCGGTTTCGAGTTTGTTTTACGTTTAAAGTAATCGAAACGAGTACGCATTCGGCGGTCTGATTGGCCGGCCCCAATGAACCAACCAATCAGAGGCAATCGGACCAGTAAATAGTTCCTGAGATTAGCGCGTTCAAACAAACAAATTCTTCAGATTTATACCATAATAAGTATTGAGTATAAAATTAATGTCGAAATACTCAAACGCTACACAATTTTAGTTCACGCTTAAGTATAGTTCTGTCTCTACAAATTCTCTGTAAAATGAAAGAGATGGCACGACATTTAAGTACAACTTAAAAATGAGTAGCCTTTCAGTATTCGGGCGTAAGCTAACTTAAACTCGATCAAATTTTATGGACCCCTAGAATAGGATAGATGCCTAATTTTTATTTTAATGTCTGTCTGGTAGATCATTTTAATTCATTACACACGTATTTTTTATTTTCTTACAGAAACGAATACTTTCGACGATATATTGATTTGAAATGTCGTCTGACGTCACTTCTATGTATATTTTATGCGTAGAAATGACGTTTTAGCCCCACTCCTAAACTTTGATTCGTTTTATCTAAGTATTATTTTATTATACGACAAAATAAAAAAATACGTGTCCAATATTTTTTAATTACCTAACTAACGGACCAAATGGATTTTTAATTTTCATACCCTGTCATCATCCCAATTCAGTAAAATGGGCAAGGTCTTTCATTTAATTTGGCAATGGAACATTATATTCCGGCTAGTATGAAGCCTTGGTATCTAGCTGGATTTTTGCCAGATACTGTAAAAAAGGTTTGAACAGTTTAAATAGGTATTTCAAGCCTTTTTGGTGCTTTTTCTATTTGAACATAACATTTAAATAGGGCAAGGTTAAATGTATTGCAATTTGTTAGGGAATTAAATTGGCAATCAACCAAACTGTTGTAAAAATACGAAATTATTTTTATTTATATAATGGTTGGTTACCAACGAATATGGTAAGTAGGTATATCGTGTGGCATGTGTACTGTAAATATAAATTTTATTATTGTATGACTAAGCAATAAATGGAATACTTTAAATTTCTTTACTATAATAAAATGAATATCTAAATGTGTTTTTAATCGCAAATCTCGAGAACAGCTGAACCGATTTCGGTAATTCTTTTTTGTTGGGTTTCTTATTGTTAGGAGAAATATAAGAAAAAATGACATATATGCGCGGAAAACTCTTCAAGACGAAACAAGGATCCACTAGTTGTAGAGAATGTATTTTGCTAATATTTTAAGAGAAGAAAGATAATATCCAGTAATTTTGAAATAAAATATTATAATTTAAGATAAAACTATAAAAGTTGCAATCACAGACGAGAAGGAGTTGAACTGACTTTGAGAAATAGTAAAAAAAAAAGCAATTAGTTACATTTACTATAAATTAATATGATTAACAATACATAGTCTAATATACTGCTTATTATTATGATTTTCCTGGAATTTATTGAAAACAAAATTAAACAATACTTTGTAAGTAATGGCTTGTTTTCCTGATAATACTGTAAAACATCAGTCTAATAAATAAATGCAATAGGGATTGTGTTTATTTATTTCATGTTCTTTCCTACTGAAGACTAAATGATGATTTGTTTTGAATTATGAATTAATTTAGCATTCACTATAGCCATGCACATTACTTATTACTTGTGGAATTATATCATTAAAAAATTTAATTACATTTTACCAATAATGTAGGAATTAAATTGATTTGAAATTGTAAAATAAATATTTTTTTATTTAAATTAATTACTGTTTTTTACTTTTAGTATTACATTGCTTTTTGAAATCTTGACAAATTCTAATTTCTGTCTTTAATATGAGATTTGTCTCCTTTTATTCATTATATTTCTGTTTTTAATATGAGATTTGTCTCCTTTTATTCATTATTGGTCTAATCTAATCTAATCAAATATTTATTATATTACTTATTTTGTAAGTAGATTAAGTACTTTTGCGGTGCCCAGAAGGGCCTATAGTTGGAACATATTTTGTCAAAAATTGTAAACCACCCTGTACACACTATAAATACATTAAAGTGGTTTGAATTAGAATATAAAGTGCAATGTGTATGATGTACATACTTGTGTCGCAGCCTGCTGTGTAGTAGTCTTGATGGTGTTGCTGACATTCTTCACAGCTCCAACAGTTTTATTCAAAAACGCTGAGTTCTCAAACAGCCTCGCTCCCATCTTCTTATTCAAAGACTTATTGGAACTGGATACAGCATTCATAGATCCATGTTTAGTGCAAGGAGTCAACTCTATCTCCTGATTCACAGGCCCCATGTTCAGAAAACATACTGATTTAATTTTATATATTGAGTGATGGAAGTATATTGTCCCCACAGGAGCACTCTCTTTTATTATCATCAGACGAGGTTCGTATATATTAGAGTGTTCCACCTTGCCCAAAATCCCATCTGTGATCCCCAGACACTCAATATCCTCAATATCAGACATATCCCACGCTAAAACAAAGGGTTTTAATCAGAATTTATGAATCATATTCAATCACTAATTTATACAGCGTAACACTTCTTTGATAAGAATTTTAACTACGTATCTTGAAGATGATTAGTTTTTATTATTTTTTTAAGCAAAATTAGGTCATGTATCATTGCAGTTTCTCAAAATTTAAAGATTTACGATATTCACCTGATCGCACTGAAAATGCCCCGGTTGTCCTGTTCCACCACAAACTTGATTCATTTCTAACAAATATGTAAAACGATTCTGATCTAAATAATTCCATTTTGGCTTGATTTATTACACGTTCAATACGTTTCGATTTAATTTCATCGTGTTTATTATTGTTGTATTTTGCACTGATTTGACGTTTCATAAAAGGGGAAGGGGCAGAATCTTCTTTTCAGAATGTTGGTAGTGTCACTTTTTGGGTGTAGTCCTCTAGTATTAATTACTATTTAATAAAATTAAAAATGAAATATTTTTGTAAATACATAAAATATGTTATAATTTTTTACGTTAATTAAATTGGTTAGTACGCATAATAATAATAAAAAAGAAATTAGTCATAGACGCAGATAGATGTGAACCATTGCCGCGTCAATACAGAAATATTTTATCTTGATGTTGGCATAACTGTCAAATGTACAAACTTCCGGTTTGAAAAAACCTTGCATTTTGTTTAGTTTTTAGTTAAACTTGAAGCTATTCGAGTCATTCTGCTACAAAATGGATTGGCAATTAACATGTCGAGTGTGTTTAGAATCGGGGGATATGGTTTCCCTCTTTGATTGGGACGAAAACAATGAACAACTTGGCGACAAGTACACCTACTGCTGCGGCGTGGAGGTATGTAAAAATTACCACATCAAAATGGTTGCGATGGCCACCCTATTTGATTTTTTACTACAATAATGTTGCTATATTGGTTTATTTGTAGCAAAATTCGGATTTTTTACTGACATCCCAGAAGTTCAAAATATTGTTTGTTATCATTTGATTCGCTAGTAATTAAAATACTCATGTGGTATTTTTTATTTTAGGTGTCCAAAAATGATAGTTTGCCCACGCTAATATGCTTGCATTGCGTCGATCGGCTGACTTTTGCTTATCAATTCAAACAACAATGCCTTTCTTCAAACGATACTCTAAAGGAATGTTTGGAGGAGTTCAAGAAGAGCTCCCAAGTGGTGTCGGGAGCGGCTACGTCCAAAGGTTAGTATTTATAGCTATTCTATTATAAATTCTATTATAATAGGTGACCTCCGCCACGTTCCCGCCAAAACATTCCTCCAGCGAATGACAGACGCTATAAAATTTACATAATTCTGAATTAAACAATGACTGACTTGCCACCTAAATAATATTACCACCAAAACCCTTATAATCAAACATAACTAGCTAGTTTTATTGGTCAACATAATTTTTGTTATCAGTAAATATTAAATAACCATAAACATGTTTCAGTAGGTACCACAGAAACAGAAACAATAACTATAAAGCAAGAGAATGGTTTGCTGTTACAATATGAGCTGCCAGTGGAACATGATCCTGCGGGACAATGGACCCGCACCCTGGTCAAGACTCCAAGTAGTGCGGTGGTCACCAAAGCCCCTGGACCACGTAAGAGAGGCCGGCCCCGGAAATATCCTAATGAACAGGGACAGATTGGTAAGTTGAATATTTAAGACCTGTGTTGTTTGTTTTAACCTAAGGTTTGGGAACTTATTTCAATTAATCAACAATTAAAGAACAATAGGTGTGCGGACACCGGTGTCCTTGCGGTGTTTGACAGTTTAAAATGCTTATATTTGTGTCAGCCTCATTAGACAACATAAATTAAATAAAACCTCTATTACCAAGTAATAGATATATATTAAGTGAATATGAAATAATGTCATAAAAAAATTATATAGAATAATATTCTATAAAATAGTTTGCTATGATAATGTTTAGTGTAAACTGGGTTCGTGGTATCCGTGCCGGATAATGAATCAATTTTAAACATTTTCTAATATGTATAATATAATATTAATTGATTTTTAAGTTATAAATATTTAAGTAATTAATTATTAAACATTTTCTATGAGTAAAAAATATGCCTTAAATTATGTGGCACATAGAAAATGAGTTGATAATAAATTGCTTGAATAAAACATGTTTAATTTTTTAAATGTAAATTAAACCAGTGACAATCAATTATTATGCTTCTTGGCACACACAGACACAGCACAGGTATCATAGGTTTGTTATGGTTTTTATTTCATAACAAAATGATGTACTAGACACCTATGTTATAAAGATTTATATAAACATCTATAAAAATACTCCACAATCAATGTTGATTTTAAAATCTATAAAGCATTCTGCCAAACTCATTCTTAATTTACATAAAACTCACTTTTAACTAAACTATATTTTATCTGTAAAGGCATAATAAACACTAAGAACAATAAACTCCTTGAAATGTATCCTTTTTACAGAACTATCACCGTACCAACGCAAGAAGCCGAAAAATCAAGAAAAGGAACAAGAATCCTTGACCACACTCCTGGCAACTGGATCTTTGGACCTCAAGCAGGAGCCAGTGGATCCTGAGGATGATGCATTCGGGCAAGATGGTGAGCCCCATCAATTTCCTATTGGTAATATCTGTTTTGTTTTATGTTATGTTTTGTTTAGAAACCTTTTTTGTTATCCAAAGGGTGCAAAGTAAAGTGCTCCAAAGGGTAAAAAGGTATTATTTGAAAATTGTTAAAGGTTTAATTGTGGTATTTTTTGGAAAGACTGGTGATATGAATTTTGTTAAATGGTATCTAGTCTAATTAATTATGTAACTGATTATGTAATAATTTTAGAAAGAATTTCAATGTTTTAGCTATTCAAAAAATATTGTGTTTAAACCTTCCTTTTGATCATTCACTTAGTTTAAAAAACATCTTGCTTACATTTCACATCATTCTGCACTGTGTGGCTAACTGATTTTAGTTTTTCATATCAGCTTTATTTTCATCACTGTTACAATGATTTTAATTCTCAATCACAAATCATTATTCATCAAATTGCATGAACTAGTCCATGCTGACATTAAACTCCATACTAAATGTGTCTATTTCTAGTGAATAATTCTGTTGTTATAGGTAATGGAAACTAACCATTATATATCAATAAAAGTAATGAGAGAATGCCACTAGGCATTAAGTCCGCCTTTGTATACCTACAAGAAGTGTAAATAAATAAAAAAATAAATATAAATAATATGCAGTTTTAAAATAATGATTGTTTTTTTCTTAGAATTTGGAAGTGCAGATGATGACCCAGACTTTGAACCGGCAGCTGAGGAAGAGCCTGAATCTGAACCAGAAAGCAAAGAGATAGTAAGTTATTCTCTCTTTGTCTTATTACATAGAAGGAACTGAATTGGTGTTAAATAACAAAATCCTTAATGGTATTTGCAAATCACACAAAGAGTTCCGTACGAAAATCTTTTAGCGCATTATTACGCAGTACCTAGTTGCCAAAAAGGACTAAGAAAGGAGCTTTGGTGGGCAAACTAATTTCAACTATTGTCAATTACGTAATTTTTACTAATTATGTTTTAATCATTTACTTCTAGCAACCTCAGCCCCGCAAGCGTGGAAGGCCACGTAAGAACCAAGAACAAAAACAGATTAAACCAAAAACGGAAGATGGTGAAGATGTTCTGCTCAAAGAGACGATCCTGGCTTTCTCGGAACCTATTCCTGAACACATTCTCAATCCTAAACCCAAGAAGAAGTATCGGACTAAGAAGAAGTACGTTTACGAAAAGACGTAAGTGCATTGTTTATATTATAACTTTTGTGAGACATAGTAAATTAATTAGGGGGAAGTGACTTGTTCAATTTTAACTAAAACTCTTAGGTGTCTGCCACTGGGAGACTTCTACCTAAATTGAATCGCTCGCGTTATTAGTTATTGAGATAATACAAGTGTCCGGCGTTACGTGCCGTCCGGCGTTACGGGACTTTCCCCTTTTACTTAAATGCATTGTTTATGAGAATTTGCTAATTTAAATATACATATAATGTGTAATGGCATACGGCAGACCTAATACCATATCGCATTCTCTACCAGTCAACTGTTTGAAAAGTATTATAACGATAACTTTGTTTTGCGGCTTGCTCTCGTAGCAGTTTGACGAGGAATCTCGACTAGTTATAAGTCATGTTAGGGCTTAGACTCATGAGCTGCATTGTGTGACAGAGCTAGTATTCACAACACGGCGTTGACCGCGTTGTTTATAATTTTTTACTAGATTTATAACATAAAAATAGTACTCTTACTAATTCTCCGATCATTGAGGAATATTAGTATTATATATTTTTGACAATTCTTTCTTTTCTTTTTCTTTCAAAAATATATAAACCTTCAGATGTCATTTTACAGTTAAGAAATATTTGATGATGGAAAAAACGGCCGTAAAAAATGTTTTATTTATTGATTTTAATAATTAAATGCATTTTTACAGTCACACATGTGAAACTTGCGGCGCTTCTTTCACGTCTAACGCGTCGCTGCAAGCACACATCCGACGACATCTCGGTATCAAGCCATTTGTATGCAGGTATGTATATAATCTTATATGAAGTAAACAAGTGTTATAATTTGTAAAAGTCACTTTATTAAAATGTATTTAAAGTCTAAATATACCAGAACAAAATAAAAATTGTTCTTTGCAAAATGAAGATTGACATAGAGAAGAATAAGCAATAAACTCTGGAGTTTGATTGCACCGTTGGCGCGGTGGCTGGGCAACTGGCTGTCGTGCAACGTGTCGCGGGATCGATTCCCGCACTGAACAACTCTTTGTGAGATACACTAATTGTTGTTCTGGGAAATGAATGAAAGGAAGTGTGTATGTGAAATTGTATGTTTGTAAATGCACCCCCGAGACAGGAGAAAATCCTGGTGTGGGGCAATTAGCGTAGATACAACTTTGTTTTCACTGAAAAAAAATTGAATAGTCATGATTTTCTTCTTAGTTTGTATGTTTATTTCGTAAGTTATTTAATTTATTTGTTCAACTTTCATGTTTTCCATGAGATATGGGTGCGGGTGGGGTCTCTATGATTAATTATAACTTGGCTATATTGATATAAGTACCAAAATTGCATAATTATTACACCTGCGCCCATGTTCTGTCGGTCGTTTCGGTACATGTTGTTTCAATCGATAATCTACCTTATTATTAGAAGAATAAGGTTTAAGTATACTCCAAAGAACGCACCCGCACCTGCCTCTCGTTCCATTTTCTTTGTCCTTATTAATGTTATAATTTACTTAATAATTTATTCCTAATTATTTTGTTACATTTTATGCTGAACAGACTTGTTGCGCAAATTCGCTTGTGCAAAACTTTTCATATTTCAAACATATACGACTAACATTCGATTTTATAATGTTGCTGATTTAGTGAGAATTACCTGTAGTGTAATTTATATTATCTTTACAAAAACGCTGTGTTGCCCTACATACTTTTGGGAAATTTGCTAGTATTCTTTAATTATTAACTTTGTCATTTGAGAAATAGACACACTACTACATCATAAAATACAATGTTTGTAGTGTTAAACCTATTTTCAGCAATACAACATTTTAAAAACCAAGATAAATACTTAAAACATAAATTTTAAACTAACAAATGTTTTAATCCAAGATAAAATTCCTCATCTATCTACTAAAAATATATGTATTATATATTAAATAATTAAAACAGTCTGTTCAGTACATTTTTACCATACTAAGTATTAAAAATATAAATTCCATCGTTACCTATGCGCAGTGTATGCGGGTACGCGTGCGTTCTGAACATGGAGTTACGTCGTCACATGATGCGGCACACGGGCGTGCGACCATACAAGTGTCGCGTCTGTGATCGACGCTTCGGAGACTTTGGCAGTCGACAGAAACATGAGAGGCGAGTTTCTTTTTATTTAGGGATGGGCTGGGTCGTAGGTGGAGATTTGGTAGCGTGGTTTGGTTTTAGTGGGTTAAATATTGAGTTGCATTTGAAGATGTTGATTTCATGGCGTGTGCAGTAGGACATTATTATGTTAAGTATATCGCGTGATAAAACAAATAGTATTGGCGTTAAAATGAAAATACCACCGAAACTAGCATTTGCGTAGCTTGTCTTTGTGGCAAAATCGGTTTTAGACAAATCTTACGCAATATCAATTTTAATGTAAGATTTTGATCTTTTTTCTGGTTTATTTTGCGAACTATTAGCATTGAATTGATAAAAAGCATTCTTTTCAATATTTAAGTCACTTCAATTAAACTACACATCAAACCACTGGCTATCCTAGCACAAATCCCGACTATTAACTTAAAAAGTCATTGAAACAACGTCTACCGAAAACTAGATCAGCAGCAAACGACCGACCGAGAGCAACATGAAAGGGGAACAACATAATCAACCTTAAAACAAATGGTAAAAGGTGCATTTTTAAATAACTATCTAGCGTCTGCGGCTTTGCGTGTGTTATGCGCGAGGCTCTGAAGCGTCACATGCAACGTCACACCGGGGAGCGGCCCTACAAGTGCAGGATTTGTGACCGACGGTTCGGGGACTACGGCACGAGGCAGAAACATGAGAGGTATGATATTATGGTCTTTACTACTTGTTGTGTAAGGTCTCAAATTGAATGTTTTGGTTTGGTGCTGCCGTCTGCTGTACGAATTAGGTAAGGTAAATATGTCACTGATTCTAGTAAAGAAGGTCTCGAAAGAAAGGTATGGTACCTCCAATAATATTTTAGTAAGTAATATGTTTGCCCCTTTTATAATGCTAAAATATTAGCTACCTATTTTGTCTCATAAGTCAGTTGCAATTCATTCTTTCTTATAAAATCTTAAAATAGCAACAACAGTTAAGTTTTTTGGATTCAGTGATTTTAACTTTTAAACAAGTGAAGAAAATACCAAGCTTGATTGATGATTAAAATAAACACCCTTAACACAATAAAAGTTCTGTCACATTTATCGAACAAAAGGTTTTCCATTCAACTTACTAATCATACTATTTCACACACAGGTTACACATGGGAGTGCGGCCATACCAGTGCTCTCTCTGCGGCAAATCCTTCACATACTCCTATGTACTTGCCAATCATATGCTGACTCACACCGGAGAGAAGAAATATTCGTAAGTAAACATACATATTATACTGTACGTTTTTCAAAGTGAAATAATAAACTTTGTGGACTGGTAAATAAAGTTGAAATTGATTGTGTCTTTTGTATTTAGAAAGGCAATGTTATTCTGTTGTTATTATTATTGTCTGTTTTGTTTTTTAACCAACTTTAACTTAATTATGTCTGAAGACACTACGAACAATAATTACGCAAGTAATATGTTTCACAAAGTTAGCTTAATTTCTAGTAAGCACCTAGAGTGCACCAATTCTTTCTAGAATTCACTACTTATTCCTTCAGAAGTTGTTAATAAAGTTAATTACTTAAATAAATGGTCATAAAATTAACATATAACCAATATCTCCACACAGTTGCGGTCCCTGCAACAAGAAATTCACAAAAGCCCACCACCTGAAGTACCACAACAAGGTCCACCACAAGGATCTATACGTACAGCAGCAACTAGAACTGGAAGCCAAGAAGATGCGCCAGCAGATCAACGTCACCGGCCTCTCTGGTGTTATATCTGGCCAGATCGTCGATGGAACGCTGCAACTCATACATGCTGCTTCTGAAGGTAAGATAGTTCATATATCTATAATGATCAATACATGGTTCAACGCAATCATTGTTCATTTTGCGTTTTCGTATCGACTAGTATACATTAATCATGGAAAGAGTGTTGGAGTATCAGTTGGTCCAAAGAATGTGATAATTTTGTTAGACAAGAGAGCCCTTTAGCAAATATAAAGCACGATTTACCGCCGTACTCAGAGTCATTTATTGGCTACTTAACCCAGTCCATAGCAATTGTTTTCGGAACAAAATCTTTACTAAGGAATAGTGTAAGTAATCATTAAACGTCTCTGAATACGGCCGTTAGTCTTAAAAAAGGATCGCATGAAAATATTGAAAGGTTTCTATGGTCAGCTTCTAGTATCCATGAACTTTTAAAATACAAAATCTGGTAATTGCTTATTATTACTTTTTTAATTAGATGGAGGTGAAGAAGCACAGATGCAAGTTGTGGAGGAAGGTGATGAAGGGGGCGATGATTCAGAGAAGGAGACTGATCGAGCCGTCGCCGGCATGCAAGCTGTAAGTTAAAATAACAATGAATATTAAAATATCAGTTCACTTTTTGCCCTTGGAAAATGGCGTTAGTGAAGCATTAAGTCCAGTTCGGTTCATTAATGTAGATGCTTAAAATTGTCTTGACATTATATGTACATGTCTTTTTTAAATTTAACTTTTAAATCCCCGAGCGTTTACTGATTTCTATCCACTCACTCGATTATAGACCTTATTTCCGATGTTAAGAAACTAGTTTTGTATGAATAAACTTCATGAATTTTTCGTAATCGAAATCGGATTTAGAAGTTAAAGAACACTTCTAACTATCCCATCATTTTTTTTATATTTTTACAGACTTAATACTATTTCTCTTGTTCTAGGTCGTGTTAGACGCAGAATTTTGTATGGACGAGGACGTTAAAGGAGAATGATTTAAGTATTAAGAGTTTATAGGTATTTAATGCACTTAGATATCAATGTTGTATTCACTATTAAAATGTCGCAATGAACTCATAATAAACATAACCACAAATATATTACTTGTCCCACAAAATGTATATGTTATATGGGCATAAATAAATGTGTACATACTATAGTAAAATGTATAGACTGGTTAATTATCTTTCTAGTATTTTAGGTGGTATTATAGCAATTGTTAAGTGTGAGCTTTCCGGTAAAATAAATGAAAATATGTATTTCAATTCTTTGGAAAAGTAAATTCTATATTGCTAGCTTGTATTGAAGAGAAGTTTGGAAATCATTTATATATCGAACCGTAAATACGCGTAATGTTCAAAGCGCCGGTGAGTTGTGAGCAAGTTTGCACATAGACTGTTATAGGATAGAAGTTATCAATGATGAGTTCACTATTGGACAATATGGTAGTCTGCCAATAATTAGGAAACATCTCGCCTGGTTCCTATAAAGCTGATACTTATGTATGTTATGTTTTTTAATTTGCTCTCTTTAATCTTTTAAAACTTACACTAAAAAGGTTATTCTTTATTGTGTAATATTTTCGATTGAAATTCATATCTAATTATATTTTAACGTCTTTAACATTATTTACGTTATTAATTCCACAAATGGTTTTCTATTAGGGTAAAAATACCTCTTTTATAAAGTTAGATGAATTCATAAATATTATTAGCAGTTGCTTAGTAAATTATGAACGTCAACAATATCAATACCATTACATAAGACCACATTTCCAAGCTATTTTCACTTTCAAAATTAATAGCATTAAGTATTATATTATAATATATCACATAACATGCACATATTACTCTCAAATATAACTTTTAGCAAATACAGTAATTTATTGATGGCTTAGAGTTGTGGTGGCCCAGAGGTTTAAGACGCTCGACCTACCAACAGCAAATACCAATGTGACTTTTTTCGAGTTATATGTGCTTTCTATTATTTAGACACAACTTACAAACGATGAAGGAAAACATCGTAAGGAAACCTGGGCTTTCTTTAATTTCTAATTATAAGTTTAAAATTGCCAATCCGCGTTGAGCAAGCGTGGTGATTAATGCTCAAACCTTCTTGTGAGAAGAGGCCTTTGGTCAGCAGTGGCTACATATAGGCTGTTGATGTTGTTGTTAAAGTTTTAAAGTATGTTTACTACTATAAATATATGTAATACCTAATTGAATCTGATTCAGATGGCAGCTCCGAATTGGCGATCGCAGTTCTTAAATCAGTTTTTTGTTTATCATAACGTTTATAACATATTGTTATGAAAGTCTAGACGAATGGCGAATAATACACTAAAAAGTAACATTTTAAAAACACGGAGTTAACAACATGAAGAATTAATTCGATATCAACTTAGTATCTGTAAAAAATCAACAGAATATAAGAATAATAATTATAGGATCTTCGAATGCACTTAAAACTAGTTTCGAACAAGATTATATTTGGTATTAATGGAGCCTATTGTATTTTCGCTCATCCAATAGCGCTAGTGTGAACCTCTCGTTCTTTGTCGAATAGGGACAGGCAGTGGGACAAAAATACCCCTTCCTTCATCTGCGCCATTTGGTGATCAAAGAAATGTTAGCTCCCATTGTTGTTGATTGCGCGAAGTTTGCAAATTTTATGCATTGTAATATGTATTGTACATATTTTACAGACAGAATGATGTACATGTATGATGTATATTTCTTTTTATGTTTTAACTTCATAGAAATGAAGTTTGATAGCTAAGTTTTTCAAGCTTAACTGTTAAGTCATTAAACACTATCTTTCTTATTTATTAGACAATTTAAAACTGCGAAATAAGTATATTGTAAATAGTAAATAGTAGGTAGTTACTACTTATATTCAACATGCACTGTTTTGTGACAACAAATTGCTGGGTAATATTGGTAGAATTATCGATCGGGATGATTAAATGTTCTCCTTAATGAAGACCTTTTTACTTACCTATCTGTAGGTTTTTTTAGTAGACTGCATTTTGAAAAATTCCGTACAAATTGATAACAATTTTACTTTAGTAAGCAAATCTACGGATAGATACGTGGTATTCCAGTATTGGTCAAATCAAACGTTTATTTATCTTGATCTAAAAGTATGGGTTTATCTCTATAATAGGTATTAGCGCACAGTTAATAGTCTTTAAGTTACTGTCGTATTATTACATTATGTATATAAAAGTATGTTTGTTTATAATTGTCTACTAATATGTTTAAAACTTCTGATTGTATGCAGTAATTTCTCCATGCTTGATCTAATGATCGCAATTGGGGACTACTAAGGCCTTCGTACGAGTTATTTCTACGTTTAAAGTAATCAAAACGAAACCGCATTCGGCGCTCTGATTGGTTGGTTCATGGGGAACCGGCCAATCGGAGTCCCGAACGCCGAAGGCCTCGGGACACGTCCAGGGTGCTTACTCTTGAATCCAATTCCGATCGATCGACATTGAAATTGTGAAATTTTGTACTCTTGAGTTGCAACACTAGCGCCCATTGCATCCGTATTGCGTGGACATTGAATGAACTACATGGTATTGAGTTTGGCTTCATATTCCATACTCTGAATGTTACTTTAACAGCTACGGTAGCGGTTATATAGTTTTGACATTGGCTAATTATTGAGATTTTATTGGATTGAAATTGCATTAAAATTGAGATTGGTTTCAAGAGTAAACACCCAGGTCTCGAGTGTGACTCAAACGCGAGTAGATGGAGTCGCACTCGACACCAAGTTCAACAAATAAGTGTTTCGGTTTTGACATTCTCAGTGTAATCTTTGCTATCGTCTATTAAAATATTCAGCAAATAGAAAATATCTTTTGTAAATAAATTTAAAATTATTTTAGCTTATCACGTGTTCAGTTACTGCATACAACAAAGCGAAGGAACTTTGAATATAGCAAAGATTTATATGTATTTTAGTGATTATTTAGTTAGGTATAATTAATTATATATTACCTATGTACTAAGCAAGCACCAGATGCTATGTGGCGTAGCGCGCTATAATTATACGAATTATGTTAAAAACATAATATTATGTTGAATGTTATTGTAATATGTTTGAGGTCGGAGTTATCTAGTGTATAAATAAAGATCATGGTATATAAATATGGATTTTAATTCCCCCTATAATCATTAATATATCAACTTTAATTCCAGAGATCTAGATTCGAGACGGATGTAATGCTAGCATTGTTTTTTTTCACGAATGATAGGTATGTCTAACTACTATAATTCGTAGGAATCCTACCTGCACTATGTGTTTAAATCGCCCCTGAAGAAAATCCATTTGAACTCATCTCTAAAAAGCTTAAAAAAAGTCCGACATAAATAAAAGATGGCGACGAGTGAGCGCGGGAAATGTGGAAAAATAAAATACTAATGAAAACGACACCAGTTCGAGAGGGGAGCATTTTTATCTTGTACGTGTTTGTGGGTTACATCAACTTGGAGCGTTCCACGGTTTTATTTACAAATAAATTTAAATTGAGTACTTTTAAAATACCGAGAAATAAATGTACAATGACAAAAATTTATGGGATTTTTCATAAAGGTGTGGTTAGGATATCTATTAGTAGAATATGTGAACTTATTGGCGATCGTAGCGGTAGATATGTAACTATTCATTAGTATATATCCTTTTTCTGGCAAAAAAACAGTTGGGTGAATTACATATCTAGGTAAATGTCCAGTTGCCTAAGCCTTTTTTCATATTTGATTGGTCGATGTTCGACCACTATCTCGCCTGGTGGTAAGCGCTGATGCGGTCTACGATGAAGCACGTCGTCCCATAAGTCGACCTATTCACTCGGACCTTTAAGACACCCAGGTTATACCCTTCAGGAAATACTAAATACCCTTTTAAAAGCTGAATAAGATCTACCCTCGTGAAGTAGGTACCTACCTGAAATTTCAGCACGAAAAGCACCATTCTTATTTCTTCATAAATATTTCAAATGGCTCGTCTCCTTTAGCAGAGATACCTAATAATGAATTTAAAATCCTTCCTGATTGTCTACTTAACTCCGCTTGTACGGCAAATCCTTATTGTAACTTTCCAATTTATTTTATCCGCGTTAGAGAAACGAAATTATCTGTGCGTCGCGATTGCCAGCTGTAAATAAAATAAAAATGTAAATGACGACCCGAGCGGCGTGCAGTGTGGATGATTCTTCTACTCTGCCTGTGGTTCTCAACGTGAATGGCGTTAATAAGGAATTAAAAAGAGGTTGATTTATTTATTTACTTAGATTTCGTTGCACATAGTGAACTAGTGGACGTAATGTCTTGGCTTGCCGAATATCTACTCAACTATTGGGTGGTGCAGAAAGACAGCAATAGATCCACCAAAGTCGAAAATCACAGGAGACTATTGTTTCACTGCCGTTTTCCTTCAGGCCGAGCTATCACTCTGGCTTTTGTTCAGCTGGCCCCACGTACTAAAGCAGGCCTTAAAAACATATTTAAGAACTCACCTACAGTATCTCTGTGCGAGTCTAACCATAAATCATAACAAAGTTTGCGTTTTAACACGCAACTAAGTATCCTCCTACATTATTTCGTTCGCTTCATTTACGACAATGAGTGTAAAAACTTTTCGCGCCACACAATAAAAAACTCCAACGTACTTAGATACATATTTGAAAAGTTTGGGAACCATCAAATTCCCCCCACTCGTAATAAGCGCATTAGGGGTGGAAAAATTTAAACTCGCCGCGTCCCGAAAGTTTTCGCGTTTTCTTTTTACATTAAGGACAAAAAAGAAAAAAGCTTCTACTTAGAAGGGTGGGCGCAACTTTTAATATCCTCTAGATACAACAGTTTTAACTGCGTCACTATAAAACTGCAACATCACCTTAATAACTTGGCGAATAAGGTTTATATTCGTGTGGCATTTGAGTGTATTCATAGTAAAATAGAGGTTGGTTCGTTTATATTATAAACACGGTTTACGTGTGTGTCGCTTAGCGAATTTAAAAACTGATGGGGACTAACTCGCGGGGGAGTGTTTTGTTATAGTTATCTACTCGGTATTTAGACAGAGATAGGTGTATATGTAAGTAGGTAGGTATTTCTGTCAGTGTGAAGTGAATGGCACTCTTATATCTTGTTCTTATCTACTTATTGAAAAAGTTTGGGTGTTGAGCAAGGGGTTATTAATTAAGGTACTTCTATTAGATACTTAGATCTATTAAATGTTCCTGAAATTTCTGAAAATCAAAAATGAAAATGTGTATCAGAAAGTCTCAATAATGCATGACCATTTTAGGAATCAAACATCTGCCATGTCCTGCGTGTCCATAATACGACTCGTTACTCGACCTTTGATAGAAGAACCCACTAGGTACCTATCTCTGTAATTGAACTAAGAAACCACACAATACCTAAGTAAGTAGTTCCTTTAATAAGTCTAGTAATCTACGTATTTAATTCTAATTACCAAAGAAACCTATTGATTAACCACAATCTGCATGATTAACAGATTACTCTGCATTCTCCTTAAAATAACTGCGTACTCCAAACATAGATGGCGTTAGCAGTACGTCTTAATCTCCTTTTAATTATTCGTTATGGCTCTTCGTTCAAACAAATTGATAATTTTGCCGGTAAAGCGTTTTACAATTAGGGGATTGTTTAATTTTGTAAGATTGCGAGCGGAATTTTTATGGCTTGTTACGTTTTACCCTTTTGCTTGTACAGTTGTTAACTTACGATTTATTTTCGATTCTGAATCTGATTTACATTAATTTTCGTAATTCATTAATAGGCATAAACGATTTGAAATTGAACACAATAACATAACTTCCACTTATTCTTTACTATGTGTATAATAATATGATATAGGCAATACATTAATTATTCTCTGAAGGAATGTCCAGAGCTGAAGGTAGATACTTATCAACATTTTTGTACCTATTAGCATTTCTGCAGACTTGCTCTCTCATCTCATAGCGCCAATTCAAAAAAGTTCTTTGCTGTAGGTACCATCTCGGGTATCGAACCCCTTGTTAATCGTAACAAATGTCTTGTTAGAGTATTTGGTCCTGAATATGTTGTTGACTATACTAGGGTAGTATTGTTGTGAGCAAGTGAGCCGTCAAATGAGAAGTGCGACAATAGACATCGTGGCTGCAGGGGTGGACTCGACTTATGAGATCCTAGGCAGGCTGACATTATAAGTGGGCCCAATTAATTGACTGCACGGTTGGCGCGGTGGCTGGGCAACTGGCTGTCGCGCAACGTGTCGTAGATTCTATTCCTGCACGGAACAATTTTTTGTGTGATCCACAGATTATTGTTCTGGGTCTGGGTGTCATGTGTATGTGAACTTGTAGGTTTGTAAACACACACACGACACAGGAGGAAATCTTAGTGTGGGGCAACGAGCGAAAAAGTAATAAAAATATTAATATTAACTTTCTATGACGAAAGAGTTTCTCTACTGTGTTGTGTCTATATGTGTTCGTTTTTGCTAAGCAGAACGAGTTACTTTTGTCTAAATATTGTAAAAGAAACAGTTAAAAATGATACCAAATTAGTCCTTATAAGACAACCTGCTTTACTTAACAAGGTAGGTTAGTTTCAAAGTAAAACACGTATTTTTCTATGCACTTTATTTTTCCAGTTTTTTTCATCACAGTCTTCAGGGTTCTTGATTGCAATCTTTGCTGCAGTGGGCTGTAGAAGAAATATATTTTAAGATTCGGCCCTGGCATTGCATTGAAAGTCTTCGCCAATCGGAGGCAGACAGATTTTATTACGTACATACAGTACCTACTCAGGAGTATTAGGGCTATTGTTGATATAATTTGTTCGGATTATGTTGGATATTAGATAATTATGTCTAATCATAATGTATTTTGTTTATTCTAGTCTAGACCGTCCCGGCTTACAGCTTTATATTGACAATGCCTCCTATTACAATGGAATTTGTAACATACCTAACTGTTGAAAGGTGTGTTAATTATAAATTAATTTGTGGTCATCAATACTAGCAAAAATATTGTGAAAAATAATACTGGCGTAAGATATCATGTGATTTCCACCGATCTCACGTAGGATTAATTAAAATTACTTTTTTTATACCAATCAAGAATTAATTAGCATTTTAATTTGACGTACTTAAGTGTCCCCTTAAATTTGAATAAGACAGGTTATCGTAGGGGTGTCCACAAATAATTCCCCAATTAATTAAATATCCAGAAGCATGTGGTATTGATTGACACATTAGTTGGAGCTGTTTGTGGACCGCCCCCGGCGGAACAAATGTGAACCAAACAAAACAAACACACAGACAGACAGACAAAAGTGATGTTCATGCGTTAAAAAAAGCGACAGATGTGGTGTTGCCTCTTCATTAATTTGTTTGATTTTTTTTGAAAGTGTTGAGTGTAGGTGAAATGTAATGTTGATTTTAAAAGTAATTTTCTTTATTATTATTTAGTACCTCACTAAGATAATTCTGGAGGAATTATTACAAGAGCTATAAATGGCTACAAATTCCAGAATTTGTTCCCATTTATACCTCTTGCCTTATTGATTAGACGACGTTGCAACAAAGGTTCACAGAGATTGACTGAACAAAAAGTTACTTGAACCATACCAATTATGAAATTATACAAATCCGATACAAACGGGAGCAGATTGCCGCGAAATTATTCACAAAGCACCCCCGGCAAGGACTTGATGATATTGTATTAGGTGATCACATACGAATGCGATTTTAATGGATACGCCAAGAGCGCCCCTCGTAAAGAAACCAACGACCTAATCGTGCACCTAAAAAGAGCTCAATTTCCGCGCCATACAGTTTGACGTTTACGTCGTTTCGCGCGCAAACGCAACGCAACCCCAATCTAAATTAAAATCTAAAACCTTGTAAACAAGGCAAGTGCTCACTTTTTCGGGGATTTTAACCCTCGGAATTAACAAGAGATATAAAATAAAAGGGGGCTCGTTCCCGAGTGTGCTGCGGTGGTTTGTCATTGTTTTCGATACGTGCCGTCAGCGTTTTTTATTGCGTTTTGTGATGTCTCGATTGAAATTATTTGGAGACAATTGATGCGGTGTAAAATGCATCACGTTCGAAATATGAGGCGCGTGTGCTTAGTCCAGTATGGTGAAGGATATCGGTTGAAAAGTGATTTAACTTTTAGGTTTGTACATGAAAATAAAATAAAATCATTTTTGTATAATAATATAATTAAAGAGAAAGTACATTATGAAAATAAATACCACCAAAATTCAAATAAATAATATCAAAAAGTAATCACAGCACGATTTTGGACAAAAGTTCACTCTTGTAAAAATCCTCGAGAACAGTTCGATAAAGGAGAATTTTTGATGACTACGGAGCCAACAGGAGTCATTCGAGGGAGCTGTGGTTCCTTGCGGAGTCTGATAGAGGTGAAGGACGTCTGTTTTTGTGGTTTGTCCATTAGCCGTGGCTCTGGCAATCTACCTCGTTGTAATTCCGCAAGATTGCTCGCTAATTCCGCAGCAGCTTCTCCGTAAAGCAGCTTGCCTCGGCGAACCTGTTGACAGAGCAACGTTAATGGTCAGTCAGTTAGCCAAAATCCACTATTAAAGGAAATTCAATTACTTTCGTCTAGATCATCCCAGAGAATCCTTAAATCTTCATTAATGGACATCTCGATTGCTTTCGCGGCTACATAGAATGCAGCGACCTTGGTCATCAAAAAATTTTGTTAAGTAACTTAAAATAAAACATTTAAGAAAAAATACAGCAGAAAACTATAACATTACTTATTCACTAGAAAGGTACTAAAGTAAAATTATAGTGCAGATATGAAAAAATAATAATATCATCGTCATCAGTCCGTTCGCACCCGCTGTTGGACATAGACCTACACAATGGCAAACATCGAGTCTTTTGACTCTTAGCATAAGACTTTTCCAAAAATCTATAATAATACCTGGCCCGCTTACAACAATGGAATTACACTTTCATTTTACTTTTTCACAGTAGCATACGCCATACCGTTTAGCTTAAGAACAATATGTCTGCTAATTTGTCATAGGTTGTGTCGTAATATCTGGTTGCAGCTGAAGAGGATGTTTGGTCATCACAACCTGCATAATAACATAACATCACGCCTTTTTACCTCCGAAGGGGTAGACAGAGGTGCACATTACGGCACTTAATGCCACTGTACAATGTAACACCCACTTTTCACTATTTATGTTATGAGTCCCATGTAATAGGGGGTGAACCTATTGCCATATACCTGCATAATCAACTTAAAAAAATAAAGATGAACTGAATAAAAGTTTAAACTCCTCATAATACCTCTTCTTTCAGTTGAGCTCGTCTTCTGGACACCCATTCGATCTGCTCCTGTAGTTTCTTGCATTCCTTCTCGTTGCAGAGTAGGTCTTTGCGAAGAGATTCCATGATCTCCCGGTAGCGTAACCTGACGTCGTGGTCTATTGCGTGGAGACTCTCAATCTCGTTCTGTGTCTCTCTGATCTTAGACTTCGACAGACGAAGACGGCCCTCCTGTAATAACGTTTAATGGTCGCACCGGTTTACCAATGCAACTTGTCAAGCCAGATACTTTTTTACAAGTTATTGCTCGCTTACTTAAATCATTTTGTTAGGATATTAACAAGTTTTTTTTATATAAAAAGAAAGGAGTGTCATGGATTGCCGTTCCTTGATGCTTAAGGTTGTCAAAAGTTAATTTTGATACCAGAAATTATACCTTAACGTCAAAAATACTGTAGATAAGTTCTACATCATCATTATTATCACCATAACATCATACATATCAGCTACAAGACGTCCACTGGTAAACAAAGACTTCCTCCCAAAGACTTTAAAATTCCTCAATTATTTTATCAGAACTGGCTAGTCTACCAATCTCCGAGGCAAGTTTTAAACTTGTGTTACCTTTTCCGCAAGTTTTCTAGTTAGTACGTCTAGGTGTTCGTCCAAGGAGTCTTTCTGCTCGACCTCGAAGCTCTGCACCACGTTGTGGTGAGGACACAAGCGATGGACCATCTGCACAGGAGCGCTCGGAGGACAATCCTTCTCAACCTCTTGGGACTGAGAACAATACACGAAGGGTTAGTTTACTTCTTTACCAAACTGCTCATGATATTGTAACTATCTGCTATTATCAATTTAACCTTAAGTATTCTTTATGACGTTTAGTCGTCATCATCATCACCATCATCATCATCATCAACAGCCTATACGTGGCGACTGCTAAGCTAACCAAAGGCCTCTCTTCAGATACGGCGAAGGTTTGAGCATTAATCACTACGCTTGCTCAATGCGGATTGACGATTTCAAACTGATAATTAGAAATTATAAGCCCAGGTTTCCTTACGATGTTTTCCTTCACCATTTGTTAGTGGTGTCTGAATAATGGAAAGCACATAGTATAACTCGAAAAAAGTCACATTGGTACTTGTCGTTGGTAGGATTCGAACCACTCAAACGCACTGTCATGCATGAGTAGCGGGCGCCTTAAATCTCCGGGCCACCATGGTATTTATTTGGGTCCCTATGACGTTTAGTGGTACCTATTCCTAACATGTTAGCAGAGCCATACTGATTTTAAGATTACAATTGGTATTATAATTGGTTACGTAAAATATATAGTAAGATTCAGTATTTCAAAAATGTTATGCATGTTTAAACATGTTGTAAACAATAGAAATATTTATCCTATGGACTAAATAATATGGTGGTACTTATTAAACTGACCGTTAAGTTTGAATTTAACTAAATTTAAACCTTTTAAACTTGTAATATGCTATTTAGATATTTGTGGCTATCCATAGCTCTTTGATACAGTACCTGATTCCTGTTCGCCAGTCGAAACAATAAAAAGGCAACATACCAGTACTATCTAATGTTGTTTATCTTCCAATCTGTAAGCTTGAAATAACCGAATAAGCAATCATATTATTGGACATATCGACAGTAACACCTGGAGATCTTTGACGAATTGATAGTTTATCTTACTCTCTCTACTGTAGCCTTACCTGACAAGCCAGATGGAGACTAATTTCTCTCCACTTCCATCTTAAATAGACGAGTATCAAAACTAAAGCCACACCCAAACTAGCAGCGGTCACTGCATTCATGATACCGCTCGGGTACCATCATATCACGCTGTACACAACTATAGATTTATTAAAACCGTTACAACCATATTTTGCTTGATTTTAATTTTTGACATTTGTTGTCACGTGACAGCTGCCATGTTTTGAATTGCGAATGACGTTTTTTTCTTCGTTTGTTGTTGGTTGTGTTGAGGTTTTATGCAAGGTAACAGCACTGCAGCTGTAGCCAAATGCCACTTAGCGCTTGTCTACATGTAGAATAGAAAATCAAATTATATGGATTTGACGTAAATTTTTACACTTGTCAGTGTCATCCCCAAAGACTACAATACTATATGGTCATCCCCATACATTTAGTTTTCTACTCTCTCTGTAGACGTAAAGTGGCGTTTGGCTAAAGGCACTGATTAGCACCATATTATTATATTTTGTGTAGATAAATAAAACAATACAAAGTATTCCTAAGGTTATAGCTGTCTGCCCATACAAAAAAATAAGTTATAATATAATCTAATGGACAATATACAATGTCAACAGTGACCTTCCAATTTCACAGAACCAACTAATCAGTGTATCAGAAATAACGTAACAGGCAACGCTAATCTAAATTTAATTACGTGGATATCAAGGGGCAGTGCGTTGAACGGTTCGGATCAGGGAACGGACGGCGAGCCTCATCCATCACGGCTGTCGACGACTCAGGTGGCGGCGAGACGGACACGACCCGTCTACGGTACGTGATACTATGACGATGAAACCGGATCAATAAATCACGGTGTTAATCAACTGAGATAAACTCATTAATGTTAAGTTAGACTAATAGATGGATCTAGAGGTAAGCAGAAAAGTTATGGTGTAAAATTGAAAACGGTCGGTAGCTACATTTTCGGAATAGTTTTGTGTGTGCTTAGTAGATCGTATAGTTCTTTGATGCATAGAGGATTAATGCCGTGCCATGGTAAATAATTGTCGTGGACTAATGGAATAAATATTCTATGTTAGTTCTTGTGTTCTCGATAAACTTAAGTGACAGATAAAATATATCATTAGAAGTCGTTACATTTTGAAAGAAAATAAAATTGTATGCCTAGTTGACAGTGGCGTGCCGTCCATATAGGCAAAAAGATCTTGCCTTACCTACCTTACAAATACCGTAAATAACTTATACATTGTATACAGTACAAACGTTGCAATTTGACTACAGAATAGAAAAATAGCTAAACATTATTCAGACAACTTTATCACCTTCCCTAGACATCAAAAACACGTTGACGATCTTCCAAACATTTCGTTACAACATCCATCAAACCGCCATTACAATTGTTACATCATGGCTTACTACGTCATCAAAGGACAATCAAGGCAATAGAATGTCCATCACGGACCACATATAATCGGTTCCGTACACCGCCCCTAGGTGGGGCTAGCAAGCAATTACCTACCGATGTGGGGAATAATTGAAAGGGGATCGGTTTCTAATTGATTGTTTCAGGATGGCTGATTGATATGATAGAACGATTATAGTTCACGTGACCGTGTGACGTGGGCTCTGACGTCATGCCTTCACTATGTAGGTATAATGTGCTACATGTATATGAGGAGGAGAAGATAAGAACTTGTGAAGACAAAAATGGATTTTTTTTAAGGGGGGAAAATCATCGAATGACTGCTCCCGCCTGGGTGAGGCGGAAGGGAGTGTCAGATTCTTACTGACTAAAAACCACCCCGTTCCTTCTCCTGCACGTCGAGCCGGAGCCCCGATAACCCGTAAGGTTCTCCGCGAGAGACCTAACGTCCGAATATTGAAAGGGTACTCAAGTTTTAGTTCTACTTAAATTTCGGGTCCTCTTTGTCATTTTACAAAGAATTTGTTGTGACAGACATACTTAAGTGCTACGTAAAATTGAGAAGCTTTTTAGTATTCTTATTTTAATGTAATTAAAAAGAGGCATATGTAAGTCTTTGATTTAAGTGATCGGTGATTACTTTCAAACAACTTTAAAACGTACTGCAATGGTTTGCAGTGAAGACCTGAGGCCTTAGTACGAGTTTGCTTTACGAGTAATCGAAACGAGACTGCCTTCAGCTCTCCGATTGGTTAGTTCATTGGAACCGGCCAATCAGAGCGCCGAACACGGTCTCGTTTCAATTACTTTAAACGTGAAACAAACTAATACATCTGAATTCTAACTTACGCAGTTAAGTAATAGATTTTGGTTTAACTACATTATATTAAGCTGAAGACTTCTTTTTCGATTGTAATTTTTTATAATCAGTGCCCCTTACGTAGTTTACAAGATTTGGCCAAAGCAGAGACGTCAGTAAACGTTTGATACCTTTGCGACGCGCCAGTTTAATAAATGAGCATTTACGAGTAACTATATAACACCATAATATCTTGTAAAGTATCGCCAGCGGAATGAAGTCATAAAACTTAAGGACCGACGGAATTCCCGCCACATTTGACATTAAACGCTCCGTTCAAAAATCGTTCAGTTCATTCATTCACGTGTCGCGTTCCGTTTCACTTGGCGCGTGATCAAAGCGCGCGCGATGACGTCGGCGCCGTATTCGTTAGATTTACAGCTTACGGAAGCTAATTAGTTTGAATTAGTTGGGAGGAGGGCCCATGCGGCCGGCAATGCGCGCCGCGCGTGCATCCGAACGTGACGCTTTCAGGACTGGTGACGATTAGATGGTGCGGCTGAGCGAGTTAAAATAAAGTTCTATAAAAAACTAAGACTTTTCTATAATAAATATAGCTAATCCCGTGGGAAATAAATAATGAACAGGTTTGTAGCTTAAGTGAAAGGGAAATTTATGTTTTTTAGAGAATACGTCACCGACTCTTCTTACAATTTTTTACATTATCATAAAATAATGATCAAAATAATCATTGTTTGCATCTGAAACTGAGTTATTAGTCGCCATTGAACATTATTTAAATAAATTTATTTAGGAAGTCCGCAATGAAAAGGAACTAACTGTTAAAATAACAAGACGTTTGTTAACCTTGCATCCTGTACTGGCTCTACTCGTAACTGCCAGGGTGGTACTACAAAACATGACTGATGAACACAAGTTTAGACTGCAGCCATTACGAACTCTACGTTTAAATATTTCCAACGCGTTCCGCGAGATGATCCATGACTGAGTTCACGCCATTCTCATAGCCAAGGGAATGAGGATACCAAGGAGTTTTTGTTACATAATTTGTAACTAATTATGAGCCAAAAAACAAACGGTGTCTTTGATCAGTAGCGACATATGGCCGCCCTTTTTAGAACATGTCGTTTACATGTTATATTAATTAATCGTTCAAGAATAATTAGGAATGTAAAGGAATCTTTGTTCTCATTTGTGGTTTTAATTTATTGTCCATTTATATTTGGATGATTAATTAAGTATTTCGGGGTTTGGGTGGATTTCCTTATTTAAGACGCTGTTTTAGGGCTTCGATGGCTTAAAGTTTTTAATATTCGATAAGTAAGTAGGTATGTATGTGTATGTATAATATTTTTTTTAAGGGGGGGATAGTTATCGAATGACTTCTCCCGCCTGGGTGAGACGGGAGGGAGTGTCCGACTCTTACTGACTAAAAACCACCCCGTTCCTACTTCTGCCCTTCGAGCCGGAGCCACGGCAACCCGTTAAGTCCTCCGTCCGCAGGCCCGTGCTTACGGTGGGATCACTTAATAATAATGAATAATGGGCTACATCCGCAAGTTAACTGAAATAAGGTTATAATAACCTACGTCTTTTTAGAAATGAATTGTGTAACAGATTGTGCCTATATATTCGAAACCGTGTTAATTGTGTTGTGTAGGTAGTGTAGGTCTACTTTCATGTGTCATGAAATAAATAGGTAATGTCTATAATGAACTATCTTAATATAAAAAAATCATTCTACTCCTCCGAAAATAACAAATATGATCTTAATCTCCAATTTCGTATTAAAGAATAATTTGTTCGAAGAAAAACAAATTTTCCTCTATATTATCAAATAATCACACAGCGAGCAGGGGATCATGTCTCAGAGGAGTAAAATAAAAGGAAATTCAAAATGGCCGACACTGAAAGCAACGGCGCGGTTTCTTTCCGCGTATTACTAACATTACCATACTTCAGGCGGCGAAGCTTATTTAAATGCTCCACCGACTCCATTTAGAGCTTGGAAAAATAAAACCGGGGAACAGATCCCGCGATCTCTCGCTGAGCCGCTTTTGTGGTAAATATGTATAAACTTACAATGTTTTATTTTCGTCTCATACACTTGTCTGCTGCAGTATTTTAGTCCTTATTCACAAGGGACCATGAGGCACACAATATTAATTCCGCGTCCTCAGTAAGTTTGCTCATGTATAAGTATCTACGTTTTGTCGCCGGCATCTTTTTATTTTATCGCATTTTATTTGGGAGCTCAGCTGCCAGTCGTGTTGTTTGCCGCACTCGAGTATATTTCGCTATCTATCTAATATCTACTTAAAATATGAACGACTCTTGCAAAAATAAAATTCTTCGCCTCATTCCGACTTTACTTTTTCTTTTTCGTTTTATATCAAAAGGCAGATTAATATTTTAAAGAAACGCAAATTGGTGAAGCTTGTTTGAATATAAAACAAAGCAAAAATTAAGTTAAACGATTAAAAAAGAGTCCCCGGAGCGGCCACTGTTTGAACAATGATTCCATTATCTGAGAACGACGCTACGCTTCCTCTACTCAGACATAAAAGATAAAACTGAATAGCCGCCAATTTTGTTCCATTACTCTCAAGCTCCGCAGAATACATATTATCCGTAAAACGGAACGCAAACAAAGTGAACGTCGTTTTCCCGCCGACGATAACTTAATTTCAGTCCGCCATAAGTACGTAATTAGCGAGCCGCTGCCTTATCGGCCGGCGGGTAATTAACCTCTCCGGGGGAGTCCTCCCACTCCCCGAGGCCTCCCTTCCTCCCGGTGCACCTTGAATACCTCCTCGGCTCGTAATATTTCCGCCATATTATCCGGGAGTCCGCCC